TCCACATGGTACAGGCTGGCTTTAACCTCTGATATCTTGTATTAACTTCCTGAGTTCTAAGAATAAGGAAGATACCACTATATCTGAATCATCTTCTTCTGTTGTGATGCAAACATCTGTGAACTAATTTTACAGACAATATCTTTAAATACAAATTGTTTCCTGAAGATATACAAATGAACATGGCTAATAGATTGGGGAGGATTATGCTTACAGTATAATTATTCCAAGAGTTGTCCGAAGATGTCACAGTGTCATTACAATCTGCTCAACAAAAGGAAAAATCAATTATAAACACAAGCATTTAGATATTTTCTACATATGTAAATATTACCCACAAGGTCAATGTGTCATATACTATGTAGGGTGGGATTTAATATAGCAGGAGATTCACTGAGCAGAAAGTTTTGAACATTTAGATATTCAAAGTCTATTGGAAATGTCTATTCAATAATAAGGAATCTATTGTTTTCACTCTGTCTATTGTCTGTGAATGAAACATAGAATCCCCTTCCTACTGATATCAGACATATATATATGGGTTGTGACGTCCTGACAAGGAGTCCTTAACTGCATTATACAGATAATGCAACAGATTCAAGAGAGTGGATGCTTCTGTATGTCACACAACTGTTAGCCAAGACAGAGATAGAACAGGTAAAAAGATAGGAGTAATCAATGAGCCATAGAAGGGAAGCCCAAGGCAGGGTGCGGGGAATGGCTGATTGTCCCAGGACAGACAGGAGGATAGCTGAATTGCTTATTCTGTTGACAGGGACAAGAAAATCTGTAGAAACCCTGATAAAAGACAGAATTTCTTCCTGAGACAATCTATGCCATTCACAGACATTTCCAACCAAGTTGGCACAAGCAACAACAAGTCATACTTGCTAAAGGTCAAATGATGTAGACACTCCTGGTTCGAGCCTTCTTTCCCATTCCTGAATATAATAAATATCTCTCTGAAATCTATATCACAACATTGTTTGTGGAAGAAAAATATTTAATTATAAGCTTGTTGTAATCTACATCTTGGAACATTGTTTACAAGCCAACTAACCAAGAGAGATGAGGAACTTCTTAGAAACCTCCAGAGATCCAACTTGAGAGCAACTGACATCACATGTATACTTAATGTAAAGAAACCTAAGTGCTCTTCATGGAGAAACCCATGTGTGCCCCAAGGTATCCTACTCCATTCCTAACCACCTCTCTTCCTAATGACTCCTGTGCTTAGGATCTGAGTTAAATATTGATATACTTTCAACACTCCATCACAGTGACTTTTGTTTTCTTCAAAGAAGCCACACAACCTAGTTTGGCCTGAATGGAGATGCTTTTGAAAAGGGACCTTTGGAGGATACTGTGGTGGGTAGAATGTAATCTCTATCCCTGGTAGAATGTAACCTCTATCACTGCCATCAATTACAATGTCAGATCTAAATTGTTGCAGAGGGCTCCTGCTCTACAACACCAGCTTTATCAAGATCTGGACATCCAAGGGAATCAGGAAGGGAAACATAGTTACCTGGGAGAGTATAGGATGGGGTTTCTGTCACCTCATCTGTTGTCTGATATGGATCAAATGTAGTGGGTTCTGGAATGAGAACAATACAAGCACTCTTTCAGATTTGGACATTGGCCCCCACCAAGGAAAAGAGAAACAAAACATTCCCTTACCACCCCAGTGCCTCCCCCCAGCCTCCTAAGCAGGAATGGCTCCCTCCTACCCATTTCTGAATCTGATGACTTCTCTGAAAAACGTATCCAAAGATGGGCACTGTGTGTCATTGTTACACTATCCTGAGCAAGTGAGATCTGTGTTCTAATAACCTGGACAACTTTATTGATATTCAGCATTTTTTTAACTTTCCATTCTACACTCCTGAAATCCTCTGAAAAATGGTTGATATTAAAACATTGAGAATTGAACACTCAGGTAAGATTATGATTCATCAAGGCAAGGGTCATTTCACCTTGTAGGGGAGGGGCCTGGGTGTTTCTCACAACCCTCTTCACTGCAGGCTGTAACCAATCCCCAGATTTTTCACACTTGTTTCCATGGAGATGGAAACTGAACAATATGGAATAGATGGACCGTTTCAACATGGAGTCCTTCTCAAGGTAGCCGAATCACTCTCGTGATGGTTCAGTCCCTGCAGCCTGCCTTGTGCTGTGGAATTCTCCTCTCTCCTCTCTCTCTCTCTCTCATCATTGTTTCATTGACTGGTTGAATGACTGACTGAGACAAGGTCTCCCATCCTCCATCCATCCCTTTACTAAGAGGGGTTTTCTGTGTCTCCTGACTCATCTTCCACTGCTGTCCAAAGGCTTCCACTTGGAAAACTCCAGTGTTTCCCTTTTTCTTCTGGAGTCCCTAGGCTGTTCCCACCAATACCTCACTTCCCATGCAGAGCTGAGCACTTGCCTCTCTCAGAGTCCTTTAAATGCTTCCTTTTCCAAACAAGAGAGGATCTTGGAGTAGGTTGGTTGTGGCCAGAAAGGGATTCCTAAACATGGGTTCCTCATGGTCCCTCAGAGTCTTTCTCTATTCCCTACCTCACTACAACCTGATCCTTACATTTGAACAACAGCCTCCTGTTCTACACTACTTTCCTGCTCACCCTGGCACTGAAACATTTAAGAGGATGTGACTGTCCTTCTGAACTAATCATAGGACAACACAAATGTCGGTTACATGTTACCCAATTCAGTTCTTGATAAAAGGCATAATGAGTTTGTTAGCTTCCCCAGCCTGGGTCACATTCTTCCCTGTTCTTACAACCTCACACTCTGTATTCCATGAATAGTCTCAGGGACAATGAGGATGAAAACAAGAAGCAGATGTGAAGATGTGTCCTTATCTTACAGTATCCAAAGTAGCCTTCTCCCTGGACTAAATATTCAACCCTCTACTGTCATTTCTTAGGAAACTAACAATAGAAAAAATAAAATTACACTAATACACACAAGAGGTCATATGGACTCATGTGCCAACACTTCTCTTCTAAATCTCAGTTTTCAGTGAAGTCAATAACCTATTCATATTCTCCAAATTCAGCCCATGAGCCCATTCCTTGAAGCAGGCTGTAACTAATAAGTAATGAAACATTCTCTTAATCCTGAAAGATGGTCACAGATCCTCCATCTGTGTGGTTGTGTGGAACAAAATGATTTTCTCATAAATATTATGCTTCACATTGACTAATTATAACCTAGAGGCTCTTGCACATGTAGGGTGTGGCCCAGTTCTTCGGGGTCCTCCTGCTTGAAAGTCCCCAAAGGCCAATGAGAGGACAGGGAAATCAATATCACCCACCAGAGAACTCTACAACAAAAAGCTATGTTATTTAATCTCTCATCAGAATCCAGCCCTACCCCAGGGATGGATAAGTTTTAGAAAGCTTTGAAAGCCCATCTAACAGCTATCTTTTCACTCCTAGATGTAGAAGGTTTGAACCTAAACTTGCCTCCAGGATGACAAAATTCTCTCATCTGTAAGTCAAGGTACTATTCATTAATATTAACTTTACCTGTAGGCAATTTGAAGTATGAACTACATGGCCTCACTCAAAAGAATGAGCGTGTTAAATCACTTCCTAAAAGCTTTGAATTTGATGTGTATTGTGTGTGTGTGTGTGTGTGTGTGTGTGTGTGTGTGTGTTATTTCTATAAAGTACATATATTGCACTTTTCACACTACATGAATAAACTGAAAGATCCTTAAAGTAAACCTCTGTCAGTTGCTGTCCCTATAAAATAGGAACAGATCACAGCTATATAGGACTGAGAATTAGAGATTGCATTATGGAGTCTAGAGCATGCATCCTGATATACAAGAAATGCTAAATGCTAGCTTTACTGAACTATGGCCTCAGCTGCATGAACCAATTTCAGAGTGATGCAAAGGGTCAAGGGTCTCCTACCCTGACCTTAGTTCTCAGTCAGTCCTTAGTTTTTCATCAGAAAGTCATGCCAAGCTGATCCAGAATCCCTCCATCCTCATCAGCTATCTAGATCAATGATCCACCTAAGTCTGGCTAGTAGTGAATCCCCTGGAAATCTCAAATAAAGAGATGCTATCCTCCACCTTCAAGTTCTTACACAGCAAAGGTGAATGCAAGTTAAGACTGGGAAATTACTTTGTGAAGCTGTTGTTGGGACCCAACTAAGAACTCTTCACCCATATTTACTTCTGACTTGACTCAGTGTCTGTGTGTCCTACAGCCACTGATAAGAGGGACTCTGGGTCCTGGACCACATTGACTTTTACCTGGTGTGTGAGTCTGTGTTTGTGCTGGTGTTGTAGAAGTTGAGGTGGAGACTGTGGGAGATGTTGGAACATGTGTGGGTCTTGTTGACATTGTCTTGGGTTTCACTGTAGTTGTAGCTCTTCCTGTAGTTTTGGGTCTTTCTGTAGCTGTGGGTCTTGTAGTAGTGGGACTTGTTGGAAGACTTGTTGGAATTTCTGGGTTTGGAAATCAAAATGAAACAAGGATGAGTCAACAAGAAGTGACAAGAGTTTCTGTTGTAACACCAGTGAGATGCTGTCCCCAGAGAGGCTCCTCTCCTGAACTTCTGTCCTTTGTCATTGACCAACTAGGACAGGGCAGGGCTGTGGGCACAGCTCACCAATAGCAGGCAGCTGCACTGATGACATGGAAATGAGAACAGAGCCTGTGCTCCTAAGGACACTTTATAAATGACAGCTGCCAGGTCCTCAGATCTCTAAGCATCTGTGTGACTCTGAGAGGATGTGCGAACCTGTGACTGCTCTCACTGGTGACTCATTTTATACTCAGTTTCCAGGTCCAGCATGTTCACTTCTGTCAGTCCCAAGAGGACAGACACACCATATAGCCCTGCATCTTAGCGTGCAGATCCCACACAGAGAGTGGACATTGTCTTTTATGGTTCCTTCCAATCTAAGGGAAACACTGTAAATATCCCTTATTTTTTATTTTTATTTTATTTATTATTATTATTATTATTATTATTATTATTATTATTATTATTATTTGGTTTTTTGAGACAGAGTTTCTCTGTGGTTTTGGAGGCTGTACTGGAACTAGCTCTTGTAGACCAGGCTGGTCTCAAACTCACAGAGATCCGCCTGCCTCTGCCTCTCTAGTGCTGGGGTTTAAGGCATGCACCACCATTGCCGGGCGAATATCCCTTATTTAAAAATGCTTGGTACGCAGAGTTTAAGAATTTAAATCTTCCTTAACAATTTGGAATATTTGCATATAGATAACATCTTATAGGTTGGGCTCCCATATAAACAATAATTGATGTACTATTCATATAACTATACATTACAAATATAGCTCAAAAAGTAACTTCATAAACTGGATAATTCTGCATGTGATACTATCGTGGCACTGAATTTTCCAGGGGCCTTATCAAGTCCATACTCAAAAGATTCCAGTTTTTGGATCCCTATAGACTTGGGATTTTGGATTAGTATGGTTCAAACTGCAATTCACTAATCAACAGCATCCAAAGGGCTTTAAGAATCCAAACAGCTACTCTACATGGTATGGTGTCAGTTTATGCTGACAAAGATGTGGAGAAAGGGGAACACTCCTCCACTGCTGGTCGGAGTGCCAACTTGTACAGCCACGTTGGAAATCAGTGTAGCGACTCCTCAAGTAAATGGGAATCAGTCTACCAAAAGATCCAGCAATTCCACTCTTAGGCATATACCCAAAAGAAGCACATTCATACAACAAGGACATCTGTTCATGATGTTCATAGCAGCACTATTTGTAATAGCCAGAAACTGGAAGCAGCCTAGATGCCCCTCAACTGAAGAATGGATAGAGAAAATATGGTACATTTACACAATGGAGTACTACTCAGCAGAAAAGAACAATGAAATCTTGAAAATTCAGGAAAATGGATGGAACTAGAAGAAACCATTTTGATCAAGGTAACCCAATCACAAAAAGACAAACACTCATATATCCACTCATATGTGGATTTTAGACATAAATGATTACCAGCCTACAATCCACACTGCCAAAGAAGCTAATAAACAAGGAGGTCCCTAACAGAGACATACATGGTCTCCTGGAGAAGGAGAAAGGGTCACGATCTCCTGAGCAAACTGGGAGCACGGGAGGCGGGGGTAGGGAACTAGGAGAACAAGAAGGAGAGAAGAGGAGAGGTACAGAGGACATGAGGGAGCAGAAAGTTTGAGTCAGGGGAAGAATAGAAGATAACAAGAATGGAGATACCATAATAGAGGGAGACATTTTAGGTTTACAGAGAAATCAGGCACTAGGGAAATGTCTGGAGATCTACAAAGATGGCACTAGCTAACAATCTAAGCAACAGAGGAAAGGCTACCTTAAATGCCCTGTCCTGATAATGAGATTGATGACTGACT